GAAGGCAGATTTAAAGGCTAACTATTTTGATCCTGCCGGCATTAATTAGCTAGGATAACGATAAATAACTATAACCACTTTTTTTGTTACAAGGAGAAAGTAAATTTAAACCTAAAAACTTTGACTACTAAATCTAAACTTCTTCGGCTATTAAACATAAAACACATAATTTTCATGAGGCAACTTTTACAAGTTATTAAAATTTGGATAAATCGCACACATTGTAAATAAATTGCCTATCCATATTTTTATGCAATATTTTATAAATAAGCCACAAAAAAAAATGGAAAAACGTGGATTATCCTATCCCTATAATCTCAACCCCTCAGTTCGCCTTTTACTTGAAGCTCGCCTATTCAAAAAAGGAGACGGAGGGCAACAAAGTTGAACGGAGCCACCTGTAAGTCTTCACACACTAATAGTGTATTTCCGGATATGCATCTTCGTGAATGTTTGTGAATTCTATCTTTGGTCCTTTCTTGATGAAATCTATAGGGCTTATGTTGTCAATCCGAAAATCTGAAATATTTGGTACTTAGGTACGTTAAAATATAGGGATAATTTCAGAAACCTCAAGGGAGGTTTCTGATAATTTCATTGACCTCCCTTGAGGTTTCAAAAATAAGACTGACCTTCCCTCAACTGATTTTGGGACCCATTGCTGATGTAACCTGGAATGAATTTGCTACTTTGCCCTTATGCATAAAAGGGTGATGAGAAACCAATTTCTGGAAAAATATAATTAGGTCATTAAATAATGAACTAATTAAATGATATTAACTGTAGTTCTATCTCTAATAAGCTAATAGGGTGTTAATTGTTAATAATTTTATTGTTAATTTCTCCCTTTGTTCTTGCCAAATATTATTTTAACTGTTAATATCTACTTATATTTGGTATCTGGACTTAATTTCAGGGATTGGAGCAGAAAACTGCAAAAAAGGAGGACTTGCTCCATAAATGGGAGACTTCAAAAAAGCTCCATCGACCTGGCTCACAAGGAGAGGAAGAAACGGAATTCCTTTTCCTTGTGCTGATGAAGAGTGCTGAATAGGAGTCCTCTTATGAAGAGGAAACGAGAAAAGTGGAATTGACAGGGCTCTCTTCTTGTACTGTGACTCTCAATTCGGTAGGGGCCACTAGAGGGCATTAGTCATTTGGCTTTGAAGGGAAAAACGTAGAGAGGCTAGGATAGCTTTTGAGCAATAGTTTAGTTTTCTTTCTTTTTCCTTTCATGCGTGCCTTGTGTTCGACAATAGTCCCGAATAGAAAAACGGCTTTGGCTTCTTGATTATTAGCGAAAAAATATGATGTTTTTGAACTCAATTGAATTGCGTGGCGATTTTCTCATGAGGCGTGGCTAAGCCTTTCATCTAATCAAGGATCAACTCGACAGCGCAGTCCCGAATATCTGTGAGATCTAATTAGTTTTCATGCGTTCCTTAATTTGTTAATATTTGCACGTTGTCTACTTGAATTTTCGTGGGATTATTTTGTTAATTGGATGTCAAGGGCTCGATATTCAATGTAACTTATTAATCTCTTGCCAAATTAGTCAATTAAATCCGTAATTGTTTGATTGATTAATATTAGTGGCAATTGGCGTGTTTACATACTAGGGGAACGTGCAATCTAATTTAAGTAACCCTCGTAGTGTGTTATTGATTGGGGCTAGGTTTTTCTAGTTTTTAATGCAATTGAAAAATTAATTCCTACGGTCGTACCTAGGAGTATTTTCTGGTTAGGGGTAATCAATGGCCGTACCTTGGTTATCAATAAATTAAGAAAAAATTTGTCATTAGAGTTCGTCGGCGACTATAACTAGCCTATTAATAAATTAAGTGAACTTCCCTTGTATCAATGATCGGGTGAGTAGACTGTATCTGAGTAGTTGTATCCTTGGCTAGAATTTATCTATTCTTGATTTAATTCTTGCCTATATTCGTGCTAGTTAATTATTTATTTTTAGTGAATTACTTAACTGTTTTTAGTTTTAGTCCGATAAAATCCCCCTTTACCAATTGGAATCTCAAAGAGACAAATATCGCCAATCCCTGAGGAGACGACTCTACTTGCCACTGTCTACTATTTAGTAAATTTTGTCAACTAATTAATTCTGATATATCGGATTAAGCAAACTCTTCGGCAACAGGATGAATCAAGTAACCCATTGCACACCTAGAATCCCTGCTCCAGTACCTAGGATTAATTATTGCTTGCGTTTAGTGGTAGTTAGGTTTTTATTATTATTGCACAGGTTCGGCACCTATCATAAGCCAATGTAACTACACTTGAGAAATTACACTAATTGATGCACCAATATGGAGCCATTTTTTGTGATTGGACATGACTTTAGAGAGCAACACAAGGATAGTGAAGAGGTGATTTTTGGTGGGTAGTTGAACCGACCCGAATCAGGCTCCTCTGAGATGAAGTGAGGTGAGGTGTATCCTCTTGTCCGAAGTGAATGGCGGGGCTTCTCCCCTGGGACCACTCCGACGATCAAGTTAGTATGAGAACGAGAGAAAAGCAATAGTATTGTCCAATGAACAGTATGCTTACTTGTTAGGAGTACATGAGGGGTATTTATAGAGCGAGAGTGGAGGGCAGGACGGAGGTCTTATGCCGGTGGGACCCATGTCCTGCCATTACGGCTCTGCTCTCTGTCAGGCGGTCTGACTCTGACGCTGTAGCCGCCTGGGCAGGGTGACGAGGAGTCTTACGCAGTAGTCATTAAGTGCGACAGTGCTTTTCAGATAAAGCACTGGTCCCGAGTGATGTCAGGTGGCTTGACATCATCAGCGTGTAGCTGAGGTGAAGGTGCCGAGGTCACCTACACGGTAGACTAGGGATCCGGCCGAGCTTAGGGGATATGCCCAAGACACGGATGAGCTCCGATGAGGGACGAGGTGGGTTCACCTCGGACATGCGGGGTGGCCGAGGTGAGCATCCTCAATAAGCCCCCCAAGCCTCGGGAGCTCCGGGCTAGGGAGGTACCGAGGCTTCCTTGTGCCGAAGTCGTAAAGAGTCGGGGTCCCGAAACTGCTCCGGAAGATGCGGGGACGAGACACGTGGGCGAGTCAGTTGACAGGACGTGGTCACTGGTAACCGTCGCGTCGTGAAATAGTGGGACGTTTCGTGCAGAGGGTGTCAGTCGAAAGGACGGGGCATTAATGAGGAGAGAGGGAGGCACGGTGTTTTGAATTCGAACGTGGCCGTCTTTTCGCATTCTTGCCGCCTCTTCGGATTCCCCCCAAACCCTTATAAATAGGGGGTCCTTTTCACCATATGGCCCATCACTTTCTTTCTTTGCCTGTGACTTGCAAAATTTACGAGTGTTGCCGAGATCAATCCTGCCATCCGAGATTCCAGCCGAAGTCATCCACTTCGTCAGATTCCATAGTCAACAGTAAGTATTTTTCTTTTCATCTCATCATTCACACATGGCCAAAACGGCTAAAACCCACAAAGAACCGTGAAACCCAGCTACCAGGCCGAGGAGGTGCCGGACACTTCGGAAGAGGTGACTTCATCCAGTTCCACGGGGTTCGCACCTACCGAGGTGGGGGATCGGCCGAGGAAGAAGTGGCTGGGACAGCATCGGGGTCAGAGTCATCAGAGATGAGCGAGGACGGGTCCGATGTCGAATACGACACAGACCTCGGAACTGCAATACCCCACGACGAGGGGGTGTAGGAGCCCGTCGCCCCAAGAAATGCTGCCAACCTGGATTTCGGCAAGATGCCGCAGTTTAGGAGCCGCATGGGAAGAGACAGGGCCAGGAAGGTGATAAGGAAGTATCCCTTCAGGCCGGAGTATCTCATCACATCGCCCGGGCCGAACGATTCGGCCGAGAAGCCCCCCATGGGCACTGTGGCCATCTACCTTCAGCAGTTGGAGGCCGGGCTGAGGATGCCGACGTCAAGGTTCTTCCGGGACGTGCTCCGTCACTTCGGCGTGAGAATCACTCAGCTCGTCCCAAACGCGGTCCGAATTCTCGTAGGTTTCGAGATGCTGTGCCGACATCAAGAAGTGACTCCGACTGTGGATCTCTTCCGCCGATGTTATACCTTCAAGGCACACGGGACAGATAAGGGGTGGTTCTATGTCGGCAACCGGAGCAACACCGTCCCGAAACTAGTCATCGGCGCGCCCACTTCAATAAAGAATTGGAAGCTTGACTTCGTCTTCGTCTCGGCTGGGGACTTCCCACGGGGTTTTTGGTGGAGGCCCATCAAATCGAAGGCCGACCCTTCCGCGGGGGATCTCGAGGAGGAGTCCTTCCAGAAATTGACGGGGTCCGGACTTCGGATCTTCAGCTGGGACCACCCCGAGGCCGTGCTGGTCGATGGGGGAATTAGCCGAGCCTTGATCCCTCCTGACAAGACTCCCTTCACTTCCACTAAACTTAAGATATCTTGTAATTTTCTTTCATAACTTTGCTTTCACTTCGGCTGAGACATATGATAATATTTGTTTCTTGTGCAGTGATTAAACTGTCCGACATCATCATATCGGGCTCGGCCGAGGTGGCCAAGAGGTCGAAGAGAAAGAGCTCGGGGGAGACTTCGGCGCCTCCGCCCAAAAAGAAGTCCCAAGGGCAGGCTTCCAAGACCTCGGTAAAGAAGACCACCCCCACCACGGCAGCCCAGAGCAGCTCGGCTGCTGCGGCCACAAGGTCCACCTCTTCGGTGCCAGAAGGGGTGCCATTAGGGGTGACCACGGCACTTCCACCTCCACATGGCCGAGGCAAACAGTTGAAGGCTCCAGTCAACGCGGTGACGGCGTCTTCGCTCTGGAACCGTTACCAAAGTCCCCCAGTGTTTTCTGGGAAAGAAAAATCTCACCCCGGCGAGCATTGGTGTCCGGACTGGTCGCTCAAGGTCAACGACCGATGCAGCCATCCTCGGGTTGCACAAGACCTGGTGATGCAGTCCACCTTGCCGAGGGACTTGGAGTTCACAAGGAAGCTGACTCCGGCCGAGATGCTCTAAAGCGTCATGGTGACCACGGCCTCCAACACAGCCTTTGTGGCCGAGATGGCACATCGGTACTGTGAGTTGCTTGAGGAGCAGGACACCGGCAAACTGCAAGATCAGATTGCCAAGCTGAAGAAAAAGCTGGTTGTCTGAGTCCGAGAAGTCCGAGATTCAGAGACGGCTTCAAGAGGCCGAGGCTAAAGGGGAGGAGGCCGATGCCACTACCAATAGTCTGAGGTCAGCTCTGGAGGAAGAGCAGAAGAGGTCGGAGGAGGCGAAGAAGACCCATGAGCAGGCCCTCGAGAGTGCAAGGACCTCGGTTGTTGAGAATTTCCGGAGGTCCGAGACCTTCCTTGGGGATCTCGGCCAACTGACGAGGCCGAGCTTCATGCTTGGCTTCACGTCGGCTATTGATGAGGCCGCGGCTCACCTCTCCTCCGAAGCCTTGGAGTCTTTGAAGAATAGTGTCAATTATAACGAAGACTCCAAGGAACTGTGCGATTGGATGGCCGATGGCATTCAGGCTGGAAGAAACTTGGCCGAGGTCCAGGACGAGTTCAACAAATGGCTGTCCGAACTCGACAAAGTGTTCGAGGAGGAAGGAGGGGAGGACACTGGGGGTGACGTCGGCGAGGAGGCTGCTGAAGAGTAAGGAGGAGGTGGAGAAGATACTCACCCCGGCGGGGGAGAAGCCGCGGAGGCAACTGGCCAAGGGGGAGCCGAAGTGGAGGCCTAACTCATAGGGATCTAAATGTAAAATCGAGGTGGGAGATGCTTAGCAGTACTCCTGACCTCGGTCTTTATCTTCTTTTTGTAATGCCTCTTCTTCGTTAAATGAAATATTTTCTTCTCAGTTCGGCTCTTTTAATTTCATGCTTGCTTCGTCCCCTGTTTGTCCCCCTTATTTTTTAATAACAGATGTGTGGCACAATCATATTGAAAAATAACAAAGCAGTTGAAGTGATAACTTAGTAAAATTTTCAAGCATAATACAGCCTGAAGTTCTCGGCGTGCCAAGTCCTCGGCACTAGAGAGCCATCTCGGTAGCTCAATTTGCAATACCCATTTAGACTAGATTCCACAACTCGGTAAGAGCCTTCCCATTTCGGGCCCAATTTCCCTTGCGGTTCAACTCGGCTGACCGAGTTTTTTCTAAGCACCAAGTCTCCTGGCAGGAATCGCCGATGCTTGACGCGGGCATTGTAGTAGTGGGCCAGGGTGTTCTTGTAGGACACTATCCGAGCTGAGGCGAGGTCTCTTTTCTCGTCGATGAGGTCGAGATCTAACTGCCTCTCTTCCCCGTTCATCTCGGCTACATAGGCTGTTAGTCGAGGATTGGGTGTGAGGAGCTCAGCAGGGATGACAGCCTCGGCTCCATAGGTCAAGGAGAAGGGGGTCTCTTGTGTGGATGACCTCGGCGTGGTCCGATATGACCACAGAACACTGGGGAGTTCCTCCACCCAAGATGATCCAACTCGGTGTAGTCGGGTCTTGAGACCATGCAAGAGAGTTCGGTTGAAATTTTCTGCCTGACCATTGGCCTGAGGGTGGCCTACCGATGTGAAATGTTGTTTGATGCCGAGGTTCTGGCACCAAGCCTTAAATGGGTTCTCGGCAAACTGCCTTCCATTGTCCGAGATAATGATCTGAGGTATGCCGAAGCAGCAGATAATGCATTTCCAAAAGAATTTTTGAATGGCCAGCCCTGAGATTGTCCGCAGAGGCTCAGCCTCGACCCACTTAGTGCAGTAGTCCACAGCGGTCACCAGAAAGGTATAGCCCCCGACCGCTTTAGGGAAAGGACCGATGATGTCTGTCCCCCATTGCTCAAACGGCCAGGGTGAAATGATTGGAACCATGAAGTTCGAGGGTTGGTGAATCTCAGGGGCGTGGACTTGGCAGGATGGGCAGTTGAGAACAAGATTTTGGGTATCCCGTCGAACGGAGGGCCAAAAATACCGAAGAACTAAGGTCTTCCTGGCTAACATCCTGTGGCCGACGTGATCCCCGCATAGGCTTTCGTGTATCTCGTGGAGGACCTGTCGTCCTGCCTCTGGTGTAACGCACCTCAGCCATGGGCCAAGGTACGAGCGTTTATACAGTTCTCCATCGCGGAGTGCGTACCGAGCAGATTTGCGTTGTATCTTTCTCGCCTCGGCTCGGTCCTCGGGGAGGACTCCCTGTCCTAAGAAAAGGATGAACGGGCTCATCCACGTTTCTCCCGTATTTACAGGGCAAACCACCTCTTCCAGGTATCCCGACTCGCTCAGCACTTCCACTAAAACGGTCTTGTTGAGGTCAGAAAATGAGGTGGAAGCCAGCCGGGATAGGGCGTCGGCCCGCCTATTCTGGGAGCGGGGGATTCTTTGGATTTCGAAAGACTCGAAGTACGCGATGAGTTGGTGGACTTTGGATAGATACCGTTGCATGGTTTCATCCTTGGCCTCATACTCACCAAGGACTTGGCATACTACGAGTTGGGAGTCGCTGCGGACGTGGATCCGCTGTGCACCGAGCCGGCGGGCTAGCTGGAGTCCCGCGATTAAGGCCTCATATTCGGCTTCATTGTTTGTAGCCGGGAAGTCAAAGCGGAGAGCATACGAGCACACTTCTCCTTGGGGGCCCTCCAGGAGCAGTCCTGCTCCACTCCCATCCCCATTAGAGGATCCGTCCACATACAACATCCACAGGTGTGGGGTGGACACTTCGGCTAGGGCGGAGGTGGACTCCCGACCTTCCGTGAAGGTGAGCTCGGCCAAGAAATCGGCTAAAGCTTGAGCTTTTATGGCGGTGCGAGACTCATACAACAGGTCGTACTCCCCCAACTCAACGGCCCACTTAGTGAGGCGGCCGGAGGCCTCGGACCGCACCAGTATCTGTCGGAGAGGCTGGTCGGTCCTGACGGAGATGGGATGAGCTAAGAAATAGGGTTTCAGCCGCCGGGCGGCGTGGACTAGTCCTAGCACAAGTTTTTCCACTTGAGTGTATCGAGTCTCCGGCCCACGGAGAGCTCGGCTGACATAATAAACTGGCACTTGAGTGCCCTCATCCCGGATGAGCACAGCGCTGACAGCCTCGTCCGCTGCAGAGAGGTAGAGGTACAGCTTCTCCTCGGACCGAGGTGAAGCGAGGGTGGGTAGGTGATGCAGGTACTGCTTCAGCTTGTCGAAGGCAGCCTGGCACTCCTCGGTCCAGGCAAATTGATCGGCCTTCTTAAGCACCTTGAAAAAGAGCAAAGCTTTCTCGGCAGATTGGGATAGGAAACGGTTCAGCGCGGCCAGGCGTCCGTTCAGTCGCTGGACTTCTCGGAGGTTCCGAGGTGGGGACATGTCCTGGATGGCCTTGACTTTGTCGGGGTTAGATTCGATTCCCCGGTGGGAAACCAGATACCCCAAGAATTTTCCTGAAGTGACACCAAATACGCACTTCTTGGGATTTAACTTCATCCTTGAATCCCGCAGAACGTCGAAGACCTCCCTTACATCTGATAAGAAGGCCGAAGTGGTCAAGTTTTTGACAAGGATATCGTCCACATAGGCCTCCACATTCCGGCCGATCTGATCTTTGCAGAGGCGGTTGATCAACCTTTGATAGGTCGCCCCGGCGTTTTTTAACCCGAACGGCATGGTGGTATAGCAGTAGACACCTTGGTCGGTATAGAACGCAGTCTTCTCTTGGTCCTCCTCACTCATTCCTATTTGGTGGTAGCCTTTGAAGGCATCTAGGAAGCAGAGGATCTCATGTCCCATTGCCGAGTCGACGAGGGCGTCTATCCTCGGCAAAGGGTAGCAATCTTTGGGACAGGCCTTGTTAAGGTCGGTGAAGTCGACGCACATCCTCCATCCACCGGTGTCCTTTTTGACCATGACAGGGTTGGACAGCCAGGTGGGGTACTGTACCTCATGGATCATCTTGGCGGGCAAGAGTTTGTCCACCTCGTCAGATACGACCTTGCTGCTTTCAGAGCCGAAGTGCCTACGTTTTTGCCTCACAGGACGGGCCTGCGGGTTAACGTTGAGCTGGTGAACCATGAGCTCAGATGGCACCCCAACCACTTCATCGGCGGTCTACGCGAAGATGTCCCGGTGGTCCTTTATTAAGTGAATCATCTCTTCCTTCAGGGGCAAAGGGAGCCCGGCCCCTACCTGGACCACTTGGTCCGGTCTTGCCTCATCCAGGACCACATGCTCCACCTCATCCCCGGGTTCCAGCCTACCGGGTTTTCCCGCTTTCTGAGGATCAATGCAGTCTATGGAGAGAACAGTTGGCCTCTTCTCGTCGGCCTTTGATGCAGTCCGGGGAGTGACTGCGGCCTGGATGGTGGCGAGGTAGCATTCGCGGGCCGTACTCACGTCGCTGCTCATCTCGGCCACCCCCGCTGGTGTCGGGAATTTGAAACTCAGGTGGTAGGTTGAGTACACAGCTCTCAAGGCGTTAAGCGTGGGTCGACCTATCAACATATTATAGGGAGAATCTGCCTTGACCACCGCGAAGTTGAAGGGTATAGTCCGACAGCGGGGATGACGCCCGATAGTCACCATCAAAGACACCATACCCTCGGGGTGGACCACGTGTCCCCCGAATCCCACGAGGGGAGTTCTGACAGGGGTGAGTTGTTCCCGGGTCAGTTTCAAACTTTCGAAAGTTCGGTAGTACAAGGCGTCTACCGAGCTTCCGGGGTCAACATAGACCTTTTTGACTATGTAGTTGTTGGTGAGGACCTCGATCACGAGAGTTTCGTGGTTGCTGGAGGCCGCAAGGACTGGGTCAGTGGGACCATAGGTGATGACCTCGGACAACCGGGAGCTCGGCTCGGCCACCTCTATCCCGGTTTGGCGGTAGGTCCGCTTCCGGGAGTTCTGGCTGTCTCCTCCCATTGGTCCTCCCGCGATGGTATTGATCACCCCGGCGATGTTGGGGCCGTAGCCCGGTGATCCATCGTGTGGAGGTTGCTTGTCCTCCCTATGGTCTTCGGGATCTCGGCAATGCATGTTCGTTTCCCGCCTGTCGTCTCGGCAGGGACCCCGGTTCTCCCGGTGGGAGACGCTACGGTTGAAGCCTCAATCCTTGCGGACGAATTGCTTCAGGTACCCCTGCCGGATCAGGTTCTCGATTTCCCGCTTCAGATCATTGCAGTCTTCAGTCTCGTGCCCAATATCCCGGTGGTATGCACAGTAGAGGTTTGAGTTCCTCTTATCTCTCCTCCCCGGAATCTCAGGAGGAGTTCGGCCGAGGTGGTTCTGCCTCATCACAGCCAGGACATGGGTCCGGCTGGAATTGAGTGGCGTGAGCTCGGCGTCCGAGGTGGACGACCTGCCTTTAACGATCCGATCAAAGACACTTCGGCGGTCTCGGAACTGGCCCGACGATCCGCTGGGGCCTTGTTCGGCCCTGCCGGCATCCTTTTTCCTCCGGGAATCTTGCCCGGTACGAGTGGCTTGAGACTCTCGCTTCATGCGGTTTAGATCTTCATTTCGGATTCCCTGATCTACCCGATCCCAGAGTTCTCGAAGTGTGCGGGGGTAATTCCGGTGTATCTCAGTATTGAAGATTCCCGCGATCAGCCAATTGGTGAAGGCAGCTATGGTTACCTGCTCATGCTGATCAGGTATCTGCACGTTCTCCTCATTGAACCTCTGCGCGTAGGAGCGCAGTGACTCACCGGGGGCTCGTTGCAGGTTCAAGAGGTAGGCTGAAGTCTTCGTAATTGACCGAGACGATACAAAGCGGTGGATGAACCGATCTATCAGCTCGTCCAATGAGGAAATACTCCTCAGTTCTAAACCCCAGAACCACTTTCGAGCCGTGCCCTGCAGGAAGATGGGGAAAACTCGGCAAATTACTGCGTCGGGGACGCAATAGAGCCGAAAAGCGGAGAGGAAGGCGCGGAGGTGATCCTCGGGGTCACCTCGGCCATCGTAGGAACGTAGGTCGGGAAGCTTGAAATTTGGGGGGACCATCTCCCCATTGATGTCATCTTTGAAGGGCGTTGCCCTCAGATATTCTGCTGCTAAGCCTCCGGGACGCCGAGGTGGGTCCTCAGCTCGTTTTCCCAGAAGTCCCCGGGAAAACGCCCGGAAAATAGAAGCAATTTTAGATGTTGCCTTGGAAGAGGCGTGCCTGGAAGTGCTCCGAGAGAGGTGCCCCTCATCGAAATCTTCGCCGGAAGGCACTTCAGGGGATTTCGTCGGTCTCCTCTTGGAGGATTCAGCTTTTTCCTTCCCCTGCCTCTTGAAGTACCTCCCCAGTTCTTCGAAGATGTTTGGATTATCAGCCACGAACTCGGCCATCTTGGCGATGGCGTCTTCGTTGTGGGGCTGGATCCTTGGGGACCCTTGTTCTTCAGAAATACGATCTTGCTGGGCTCCGGATGTCTGCCCAGCCCCAGTCCAGGGGACTCTTCCACTTTTGGAGCGCATGGATCTCATTTTAGCAGTAATCTCGTTCCCACAGACGGCGCCAATTGAAGAGGTGATTTTTGGTGGGTAGTTGAACCGACCCGAATCAGGCTCCTCTGAGATGAAGTGAGGTGAGGTGTATCCTCTTGTCCGAAGTGAATGGCGGGGCTTTTTCCCTGGGACCACTCCGACGATCAAGTTAGTATGAGAACGAGAGAAAAGCAATAGTGTTGTCCAATGAACAGTATGCTTACTTGTTAGGAGTACATGAGGGGTATTTATAGAGCGAGAGTGGAGGGCAGGACGGAGGTCTTATGCCGGTGGGACCCATGTCCTGCCATTACGGCTCTGCTCTCTGTCAGGCGGTCTGACTCTGACGCTGTAGCCGCCTGGGCAGGGTGACGAGGAGTCTTACGCAGTAGTCATTAAGTGCGACAGTGCTTTTCAGATAAAGCACTGGTCCCGGGTGATGTCAGGTGGCTTGACATCATCAGCGTGCAGCTGAGGTGAAGGTGCCGAGGTCACCTACACGGTAGACTAGGGATCCGGCCGAGCTTAGGGGATATGCCCAAGACACGGATGAGCTCCGATGAGGGACGAGGTGGGTTCACCTCGGACATGCGGGGTGGCCGAGGTGAGCATCCTCAGATAGTATTATACGAAAACTTGGCGAAGATGGAAAAATGGAGGGAAAAGAAGGCAAACAGCATAGCTCCCCTCAGGTTAAAATATGCTGATTTGCATTAAGATTATTGACATGCTACCCACTCATGCTTTTGTATATGGTTGGCATTAGTGACAAACAATCAATGGTAATGAAATTTGGCTTTGCAATCCTCACCGTCTGCCTCATTCATCTGCATCTGGGGCAGATGGTGTTTGAAACTATCTTGGATTGCATCGATAGTTATGTAATACTACAACTGCTACAATTATATCAATTTTGAACTAATGTCAAGTGACTTATGTTGCCTTACTAACTAGTTCAACTAATAAGTTGTTGCTTATTATCTCTTTGTAAAGTTACAGTAGTAGTCATCAAACAATAGTCATACATTTCTTCGAAATACAATCCAACTGACAAGTACTACTGGTTTATTTCTTACATAATCAGAAAAGACTTAAAATGATTGGTACAATGTCGTGACACTTTTATATTTGTTCCAAGAGTTTATCCAATTGATTTTATATTTTGGATGAATATAGATACAACACCTAGTGTGATATTTATGATGAGTATCATGTTAACTATGGCCTTTGGTTGGTTTAGCCTTGTCACTTTTTATTACCTCAAAATTAGATAATCACACTAAAAATAAATTATTTCTTGAGTTGCTTGAGCCGTTTATATGCTTTTGAAAGAAACTTAAAGTATGGCCATTGCACTAGCCATTTGTGCAAACTGAAGCTTCAAGTTGTTGTTACTGCACTTTTCCTAATTGCTATTACACCTACTAAAATTTACTAATTATGTATGTCTTTTAATATTTTTCATTATTTACTAATACAAGTTGTGGATAAGCAAAAAGGGCATATGTGGAACACAAATACCATCTCACTCCTCAAAATATTTTTTTAATGCTCATTTTCCTGACATGGGCTGATCATGTTACTACAACTATAAGTTCAGGGGAGGTTTATGTCATTTTCAAAACCTTAGGGGAGGTCAATGAAATTGTTGGAAACCTCAGCGGATGTTTCTGAAATTATCCCTAAAATATATGTATGCCCTCTATCTGTTTGTTAAAATGCCTACCCCAGAACGTCAAGTGTATGTGGCTTTTTTATTACCCTGCTGTGAGCGCGTGCCCGTGTGAGGTTGAATGGTGATGGGCCAGCCGCCGGTGAACGGAGAATAGACAGTGAGAAGTCGTTTAACATCTCACAGTTGCCTACTTATGCTCATACTCTGATGATGGAAAAATGAGTGGAACAAATGATATGCTTTTAATGCAGTCAAATGTCAGTTCATAGTTGCATCGTTGGTCTTGAACAGGGGAATGTCTGTGTTAGTTTTTTTATGAGCATTCATAAGAAAAAGGGATAGTGTCATGATCTTCCATCTACGGTGCACAACCCCGTGACATTACTAGATGAGATGAGCATTTACCGTGACTAATAATCAAATCATTTCTCAATTTTAGGAATTTTGTCACTAGTTGAGTATCTTCTTTTCTCCTCTTTTGGAGTTAAAACTATGCAGTGACTATAAAAAGAAAAAAGGGGGAAGGGGGAAGGGAGGGGGGGGAAGTAGTCTGTTTCGAGGTAGGAAGGGACAGAACATAAATATGCTAGTATGGATTTGGTGCCTAATGAGAATGGGAAGTGTCACAGAATTCAATTGTGTTATGTACCAGAATCGTACCTTAATCTTTACTTCTTAAAGAAGTCTTAAACTATATTAGGGCTATTAGTACTAGAGGAATGCTTTCCATTTGGATTGTGCTGTTATAGTGCTATACTTATATGCTTTCCGATAGCTCTAGAAAGCTGGACGTCATCAATGCCCGCCTTCTTCAACTCGACATGAAGGTCGACTCTAAGCCTGGCTACCCGCAAAGCCTTGCCATTGGGGTGGCCTCTGGTGCCCTTCTTCAGGGCTTTACATCTGCCGCTGCTCAGATTTGGACTGC